ATGAAGAATGGCTGAAAGAATAACTGGACTTCAGGTTACTGATGAGGATATGATATCCGAAATGAATTCATATATAACCTGTTTGTGAGAGATATAATTCCCATATCACTGATACGAATGATTTTTTCTTTTGGAAGTTCCAATATGTTGAACTATCGCTGTTATTTCACTGACTGAGCCATAATTAGATTTTGAAAAAATGTTTTTCAACAAAAGTTTGACACTGCACCTTGAAAACTATCCATTTCCGGGGCAGGACTATGTTAATATGAACTTTTCGTCTCAAAATCACTCAAAAAATCGCCCCTTGAAGTTTGATCACATATTTGAATAACACCCTGTATTTTCTCAAAATTAGATATATTATTTTTCAATACATAACAGATATAATTCTATATTCTGTCATATATATTAGCTAGTAGAGTAGTTTTCTTCTGTTGGATATTTAAACAATAGTTATTCTGTGGTAGCCAGGAAAGTAGTGGTTTTTTTCGTTAGATAATTTGAGGTACTCTGAACGTAAAATTTGATGCACTCTTCAACTACACTTCCCCAAGAAATTGAGACACCACCAAAAGGTATCCAAAAGTTTGAGATACATTTTCGTCAAAACTGCTGCTCGTCCAATTTGAAACATAATTTTTCAAGATATATCCCAGCCAGCACAAAGAGGTCCTAAAGATATCTTGAAGAAATCCTTTTAGGAAATTGTGATGCCTCTTGTAACTTCTTTGAGAGATCGCCGAGAGTGCTATATCTAGGCCAAATGTCCGCCACCTAGGCTGAGCTCAGCGAGGTCTTGAAGATATCGCACGCAGAAATTCTCATACAATGCCCTCAGGCGCGCACTTTGAGATATACGCTTTCATCGCCACTGGCGATAACTGAAAGTGCTCGCAATCATGAGCTGTTTGAGAAATTCGCATACATTGCTTTGTGACGAGGACATTGGGAGATTCGCATCAATTGCTTCTGTCGAGGTCTTTAAGTGCTCGCGACTACGAGCTGTTTGAGATTTTCGCACGCATCGCCTTGTGAAGTGAACTTTGGGAAATTCGCATCAATTACTAATAGCGAACTCTTCAAGTGCTCGCAACTATGAATTGTTCAAGAATCCGTGCACATCACCTTGTAACGAGGCCTTTAAGAGCGATATTTGCATCAATCGCCACATGATCGTCACTAATATGGTATAAGGTGTTCAATGTTTGAGAAGTCATTGGTTATCAGCAGTCTCCTGTCGGCGAAGTCTAACTAGCGCCAGCTATATTGTTTGGGGTGGAGTTAAATTTACTGGATATTTGTTTCAGCGAAAAATATTGAGTTACCAAACTTAGAGTTATTAGATCAACGTAATGAGCTTTAATTATATATTATTCTATAGCAAGACATTGATCAAGTAAACTTTATCACTTGAAAAAATCTCCGAGGAGTTGGCCGGGTATCCTTTAAAAAACAAGGTCGTCCGATATCTACCCACGAATTTGAGGTAGATATTTGATTCTCGATCCCACCTGAATTAGAACATTTTTGTCTTTTTCGTCAGAGCAGATAATTAATTATCATTAATTCACTGCAAAATTTGAAATAATCAGTAAGAAAATCTAGTATCTAGTATACAATTATTATTATCATAGATTAATGACTCCCATTTCATGTTAATACTGGGTGTCCCAAGTTATCGTAAAGGTACCGACAAAAACTTGCTTACTCGACAAGATGAACAAAAAATAGTAAAAATGCTTCAAATGACATCAGAGAACTTTCTTTATGACTCAAAAAAAAGTGTATAAGATTGGACAGCCACCTGGTAGCAACTCCTCAATTTTCATTTAATGGACTCCCTGTATATTGTCATTGAAAATTGCCAATCATCCTATTTCGGGAATGAACGATAGCACATCGGTACTTTGTATTTTGTTCATTAATAACAACATTAACAATAAAATTTTTTGACCTCATTTACGTTACATCGATTGAAAATTGCCTCCTCCCATGTTCGTAAAAATGTCCCACAATGAAATTAGATTAATTATTACACTAGGTAGGTACCGTCTGCAATGATTGATGTTCTACAGTTCAAAATGGAATATCTGTCATTAATATTTTGAAACAAAAATGCAATCCATACTTCTTATTTGTGAACTTCTTGAACACATGGGTGAAAGCAATTTGTCATTTGAGTAACGTAAAAAAATCACAAAATGTTCATGTTTTTGTTGTTATCAAGAACAAAACACCAAGTATGTGCTATATCGTTGTATTCCAAATAGATTGACACGCAATTTTCAGAGACAATATATAAAAAAGTGTGTTTTAAAAGTGTTTTTAACCGCCAGCTTAGTTGCAAAGCAACCCTCGAAAGTCAGAGACTTGTGTGAGTTAAGAAGATGCTACTATATTGATCAGTATCTACCATCCGGGGGCTGCCAAATATATAACATTCTTCATAAGCCATTAGGAAGGTTATTCAATGCCATTTAATGCAGTTTTTTAATGCTTTTGATATCTTGACAAATAGGCGAGATATTGCCTGTAAACGATAACTTGGGACACCCAGTATTTGAATTATAAAGGCTATTGAAAAAAACAACTCAATATTTCTGTAGGGATATTCATTAATTATTCAGGTTATGTTTGTGATTACTTTAGGAGCTCGCAATGGGAAATTCTCGATCTTGTTACGTCCAGGATATCCTTGATGGGTGCTCGCAGAAAGAAATTCCTATTCATTTCCTGTTATAGATAACCTCAAGGATTCGCAATAATGAGGAATATATCAAATCTGAGGCGAGATCTCCGCGATTTCTTTCGGACGACTCCAGAGAGTATTTCCCATGGTGACAGCCTATAGTGATCTTTGATACCTCGCAGAAGGATTTCGCATTTTGATCCTGAAGATAACTACTTAGAGATATCGCGGAGAGTACCGTGTTTCCTGGGATGTTATCTTCTTCTGATCATTGGCGTGCATTTCCTCAACATTCTTTTTTTTATTTACTCCATTATCTTTCTATTACTTACTCGAGAAACATCATTTTATAAGGTAACATGATTTTATTGAATTTATTTAGCATTGCATGCACATAAGTAGCATGCATGCTATGGCGGGTCTGGGGATAGGCATTTCTTTGAGGTTCTCTGGGAGATTCTTGGGAGAAGATTACACGAGAATCGTAACTTGAATGCTTTGGAAGATGTACGCTAGAGACTCTTTCAGATTTGGGAGGATTTGTACCAAGATGACAAGGTCCCTATATATAATTAAACTAGAGATTTTGGTGATATTCATGGAAACCGTTTTTTTCAAAAATCTTTGACACTTTTGTTCCTTGAAAACGGTGCATTAGCGGACCTCTTTGCTTACATGAACTTTTCAACTTAGAATTAATGGAAAAATCACCCCTTGAAGTTTGGCCACATACTTGAATAACACCCTGTATATTCATTCACTTTATAAAGTGACTGACTTTGTGATTTGTTATGTTCCTTATGAAAATACTTTTTGGACTACTTTGTAGAATGGATGATTTCATGATGTACCCTGTATATATCTATAACATTTATCAAAAAATGATTATCTTTATACCATTACTTGAATCAATTGGAATTGAGTTGATGAAAATCTGTTCAATAGAAATTTTTGACTCACCGGAAAACAAAAAGTGGTTCAGAAAGGCATCTCTAACACAGATTCCATATCCTATGATTTTTGATCAAATGTTTCCATTAAACATATTTTCATCAATTCAATTTCAATAGATTCTTGATAATGATAATTAGATAACTATTTCTCAATAAAATAGATAGAGAATATATTTTCTTCTTTTCTGGAGGACGCAACTTCCATATCCTATGATTTTTGATCAAATAATTCCATTAAACATATTTTCATCAATTCAATTGATTCTTGATAATGATAATTAGATAACTATTTCTCAATGAATTTTATAGAGAATATATTTTCTTCTTTTCTGGAGGACGCAAACCAGGATTATTGGTGCCTTGAATAATTAGTTGTGGTCTCACCATTGCGACGTTGCCGCTTATATTGAATAGCAGTAGCAACCACATTGAATTTTCAAATGGGACACCCTGTATATTATTCCATTTTCAGATTATCTCTGAAGAGCTGATTTCATTGACCCATAACACTTGGTGTCTAGCAGTAATAATTACACAGAGTTATAGGATGTGAAAAATCGAGATTTTTCAACTTTGAGAATTTTATGTGTTGAAACTATTCATAATTGGTCAAAACGGTTTTCATGTCCCTATCCCAACATTTTATTCACTATCAATTGATATTTAATTGAAATGAATACAGGGTGGTTCAGAATTAAGATTTTTGACCACCCTGTAACTATTTCAATTAAATATCAATTGATAGTACGTGAAAAGTTAAGATATGTAATCCGTTTTGACCAATTATGAATAGTTCAGACACAAAAAATTCTCAAAGTTGAAAAATCTGGATTTTTCACCCTATATCTTTATTATCATTCCCACTAGACCCCAAGTGTGATAGATTGATGAAATCAGCTCTACAGGGAGAATCTGAAAACGGAATGATATACAGGGTGTCCCGTTGAAAAAATAATAGTTGTTGCTACAACTAATTATTCAAGGCACCAACTTTTCAGAATAATCCTGAGTTGCATTCTCCAGAAACGTCTAATGTGCCATCCACCGTGAATCAGCCTGTATATATATGTTATATCATATAAAAGTTTAACAATTAACACAGAATAACTGACAAACAGGTATTATATTATAAACAATTCACTGTGTAGGTATATTATGAGATCAACACATCAAATCCATTTATTGGACATAGGCGTAGCAGTAGGACAAAATGTACCTGCCTGATACAACTTTTTTGATCCAGTGGAAATACTAAACGAATTTGGGCAGTTGAGAAAAAAACTTATTTATAATATTCAATAATGCTTGTTTCAGGACAATTCATTACAGTTGATATTAAAATGAAAGAAGCTCTAAATATTCAAATACATTTATTAGGAATCTTCACAAAATACTTTGATTCACAACTACAATTAGTAATACCATAAATTATCATTTGCAAACAAATACTTCTTTCAAACATAGTTCAAGGACAGGAATATCACATCTTTATGAATTGTAGAAATACAAAAAATATTGTCACATTAGTAGACACCACCAATGAAGGCCAAGTGTATAGTTCAATTTTCCAAATGTTTCAGCAACTATTTAGCTTTAGTGACACAAGGTTAATATGAAGTGAAATCTTAAAAATACAATAATTACTTACACACTATTGGCGGATCCATAAAACTGATTAGGTATTGCTTATGTGAAACTTAAGGTAAATGGAGGAGGAGAAGGAGTTAATAATAATAATAAGGTATTAACAATCAAACGTGGCGTATTTAGTTTGCTGCTGAGAAGTAGGCCAGACTCTCCTTTGGATCTGGTTTCATGGTTTTCTGGCCTGGTTTCCAACCAGCTGGACAAACTTCACCATGCTCATCAGTGAATTGGAAAGCTTGAACAAGACGAAGAGTCTCGTCCACAGAGCGACCTACTGGAAGATCGTTTATGGTGATCTGCCTCAATATACCTGAAAACAGATAGTAAAAATCAATAAAAATATTTCAATTCATTTTTAATTTAGTATTTTATTATAGGTTCGAGTTCTTGGAATAGCCTATAAACGAGTGAAATACTATAATTTTTCTATTACTCTAAGAAATCTTTGAACAAGCTCAAGTTTTGAAAACATGAACAATTCATTATATGCATTCAATAAAAATATTCCAGAACCACAGATATCCCTTGAAATATTAATTGTGTATTTATAACAGTTCCAATGAGCAAAATTTTCGAAATTGAAATTTGGCAGTTGTCAACCATTTCATCATTACCCAAACAATTCAAAACCTCTATCATCACACCAATTCATAAATCTTGAGATGCAATTGATGGACAGCTACAAAAATTCTCCCAGAGATTTATACAATAAAAAAAGTTAATTTGCTAATCATATCCTCAGTTGTAGTCATCACTTTGATATAAATAACGACCTTGAAGTTTAACAAATTTGTCATAAGGGCACCCTTCTAAATTTATTAGAGATATTTGAAATCAATGAATTAATTGAAAACAGATATTTGAAATCAATGAATTAATTGAAAACAACTTTAATCCTTGAATGAAAATTTTCAACGCCCTCAAATTCTAATTAGGATTCTCCTCTTCGTTAGTACTTTGCCTCATCTTGAATCCTTCCTCAGGTTACCTGGTTGTTTCAAAAACATTTTTTGTAAAAATTTTTGTTATTCATTTGACATGTGATTCATCATCACGGCCCTGCTTCTTTCTCGCATCTCGCCTGATATCCTTTGTTCATGCCACAGGATAGTTTTGTGTCACTTGTCATTTGAGACATACTTCACGCATCCCATGTCAAGTTAACCCCCCCCCCCCCCTTCACCGCTCTACCACGTCATGTTAACCATGATTCTCATGATGGGCCCCATTCAAATTCTAATTACTTGGATGAACAAGTGTTGGTACCTCCCTTTGGGCCATGGGCACATTGCCCTTCATTAATTGTAACAATGTAATTTCATATTGTATATTATTGTTGCCTCCTATTTTTTCACTTCCACGTGAGTACATAACCTAAGGTATAATTTTTGTAACTATAAAAAACTTTTCTTTGTAGAAATTGTCATAAAAATGCTTCTGCTGATGATGGACTATTGATAGTCCGAAACATGTTCAGACACTGATAATTCAGATAATAAATTTGTGGGGATGACTTAGTGTGTCTTGCTTATGAATTTATTCACTCCACTTTGAGATACCATGGACTTCTACCATAAATTACTATTCATTTTGACCATTTGATTCAGGTATAAAAATTCCATAAGCTGCTTTGATTTTGTCATTATGACAGTTTTGCCCTAACAACATTTGTAACCATGACAAACAGACTTGTGAATGAATCTATGGCGTTTATGTAAATTTTTCTCAATTTCGCGTTGTCAGAAAAGTATCTAAACTGTGCAAATGTCGTGATTTGAGGAGTATTCCAGTGGAGAAATTGGAAAAACCATCAACAATAGTGTGATTTACGTATTCATTAAATTGTCTTACAAAGTAACACTCAAACATTTTTTTTGGGCTAAGTAAATTCGAAATTTATAATTAGAGTTTTGTTGCCTTTGGGAAATATCTCAAAAAACTGCCAGAAAATCTTCGTTTAGATTTCCAGTCAACAAAATGCTCATCAAAATACCAAAAAGATCTCATGTGAAAAAATTGAAGAATTGATGTGCAGGTTGTCCAACAGGTAAACCAAATTTCAATTTGACTGAACAAGGATATTGGAAAATTTCTCATAAGTAATTTATATTCTTCTAATATTGATATAGTTAAACACTTTTCAAAACTGACGAAAGTTTTAGTCACATTTGTTGGACAACCCTCTATAAATATTCAATAATGTGATACTAACCTTTGCCATCAATGATGAATAAGCCTCTGAATGGAACACCAGAGTCTTCATCCAAAACTCCGTAAGCCTTAGAAATGGCCATCGATTTATCAGACAAGACAGGAATAGCCATCTGCCCAATTCCTGAATCATAATATTAAAATGTGATTAAATGTCTATTATCAATTTATTTTTCGGAAATGGACGAATGAAAGGGAATTCCTATCATTTTTATCGAACTTCCTGCACATACATGGGGTGGACAGGTGAGAAGGTATGTGTGAGATATATTGGCTATGTTTCAGCATGGTCTGAAGATAGTTATCATAAATAACAATTATCAAATAATTTAATATTTATAATTTGTAATACTAATAAACAGGCATTAGGAAATTGACTAATAATGTAACCTTCATTGATGTTTTCATAATGTTTGTCATGTCCAAATATCTGAAGTTGTTTTAGTTGACCTGTTGACCAAAACAGAAAATAGCTTAGGCGAATATTTTTCTTCTGAATTTTTCTTACAAAAACATCCGGTAATAAATTATTACAAACAAATAGATAGAAATGTATATGTTCAAATTATCCAGTTATCTTAGATGATTGATATGGAATCTTCATAGAAATTGAGGTCAGAAAATATTCATAATATGTTTATCATATCTCATATGTTAACCTCCAGAAGAAAGTAGCAATACCTACTATCTCCCTATTTTTTCCTAGGAACACCCGATGTTCCTTTCGTGCATTCCAAAAGATGAAAATATGTTCAGGATGAATTATATGGCCAAATATAATAGATTGCATGACTAGAAAACAATGAGAGTGTAAAGTAATGCATAATTTTGATAACACGCCAACTTTTCATTTTTTTAAAATACCTCACGTGGCGATCGAGTAGACATTAGCGGATAGGATAGGGCAATACGAATTCAACGATATCATGTTTGATGGGTATATGCCTACTAAAAAGATATGGCCAGATACACTTTTGTGTATAACAGGTCCATTGTACTTTTTTGTTCCTGTAAGTCAAGTATGAAGTAGGAATGTAGTAGGTTAATAATTATTCAAGTACTTCATTCTTTGAATTGTCTTGAGTTGATAGATCGAGAAAGTACAAGTGGCCTGTAATGAATGATATACACCAAAATAATTTGGTTCCTATCTTGGTGCTCATCAGGTGTAATGTAAATCTCTATCAAAGGCCATCAATGGATAACCGTACCAAATTGAACACAATATATTTCAGATTCTTATCCTAATTTTTCGGAAACTTTCAAAATTTTTTGTAATGCATAAATGAATAAAGAAGTTACGGGGGAGGGGGGAAGGAGATTGACAACATTTTTGTCTTCACTGTATTTTTCTCAATGCCTTAATTTTTTTATGTTCTGGTTTCCACGAAAAGGGATATCCTGTAATGTTCAAGGAACATCGTTAGAACCAAGCGAAATAAGGTAGGAATTGGTGTTCTTCTTAAATTTTTGGAGGTTATATGCCTCGGGAAACACCTCCCTTGGCAATGTGCTCCAGAGCCTCGCTGTTCGTTGGATGAACAAGTCTTTGGAAAGAGATGTTCTACAGATCTATATAGTGACCACAAAGGGGTTCGAAGCCTAAACTCGACGAAAGAAGAGCATCGTCCATGAAAATATCTATAAAATAGAGCCAGATCGCCAACTTTTCTACGGTATTCCAGAGAAGTGAGTGAGTTTGTGAGCGAAGCATCGCCCACGAGACGAATTGTCCTTTTTTGGACAGAATCCAATAGTTTCTGGATATGTTCGGGTGCTGCACTCCAAATATGGGAACAGTATTCCTGGACAGGTCCGATCTGTGCCTTATCATAAGCAGCTGACTGGAAGTGAAATATCTCCTGGCCCGCATTGCGGAAGGTCGATTTCTAGATGCTTTCAAAATATCAAGATTCATTCCCATTTCTGAAAAATTTGATGACACAAACACTGAGAATTTCCTACATCATTAGTTCCTATTTTTGATGAAATATTTGAGACTATTTCAAAAAACCGCTCATATATAAAACCCAAATTAATTCGGGTTTAGGAAGACAACATCATCAACACATGCTTGAAGATATAATCTAGGGATTAGAAACAGGGCATTACACTGCAGCTGTTGTGTTACTTGACAAAAGCCTTTGATTATCTGTCCCATCCTATTCTCGCCAGAACACTTGAAGAGTATGGTATCAGAGGAGTAACCCTCTACCTACTCTCATCCCATAACAGACAACAAGGTTCCACTTCCGCAATAGGTCCTCTCTTTCATCAATGGGCGAGTGAACTAATTTTCTTTATGACTTAAATAGAATCATCACTCAAATACCTTTCAATTTCATAGATTTCAAGATTTTTCGGTCGATTGTAAGGTGTTAAAATCATCAATAATGCTACGGTAATTTTCAAAAGGCTAGAAATTTACAGCGAGTAAAAACTGACGTCACGATTCCATAAGTAGCGGCAGACTATAGCACAGTTGCCATATGTTGAAATATGACTGGGAACTTAAGAAATATTAGTTATTAAAGTATTTCAAAATTCTCAATTGTATATTGGTATAATACTTATCAATAAAAAATCAATTGTCTCAAGATTTTCTCTCATGTGTTGTGCTTATTGCTTATAATACATTTGTGTAAGTAATAATTATTATAGTTCATAGGACTTTTGAACTGGTGAACATGACAAACACGGCGCACGAATTGTGGGCGATGTCTTGTCAGTTCTCAGCGTTCAGCACATTATTTGCCAATTCTTCAACATTCACATGATATTTTGTCTTGAAGTATAAGAAATATTTGAGCACGCTGTTTGTTTGAAAAAGTCAAGAATGAATTATACACTCATGACTTCCTCCTATTATGTTTATCTAATTTTATTCAACACCAGAAGGTACGTTTGATGTGAGCTCTGAAATTCAACAATTTTGAACAACGCATAGACTTATTACTTACATATCAAGTGCGTGAGAGGTGTTGCAAAAATTAATTTAGTCCCTAACGACACAGTGGAGTAATTAAATTCTAATAATTCATTATCAGTCCACTCGCCCATTATCTCATTGAATCAACTTCTTTCGTATATGTGCCATTAAAGCTAGTTGTATTGCCTTGTAGAATGTCATAAATGTCACCAGCTCCAGTGATATAGTCTATCCAAACTCCGAAGTCAATTGGAGCATCTCTCGCACCGCCTGACGGCGGGTTTGAAGTTCCGTTTGAAGTGAGTTCACGAACGGCTCGAGACGCTCCAATTGACATTGGAAAAACTATAATACAATAATGATTTGATGACAGATATAAATTTGGCTCAGGCAAAAGCTGAACCCACAGAACTCAAAGACCTAGAAGGCCAATATCGTTCTATTCGAGTGTTCCCTAACGTGGCTCGCACGGCAAATGTGAGCATGCGCAGTAAAGACGCGACCATGCCAGGGGCGGATTCATAATTATTTGATTACCAGGTTTTTGTGGCTTCCTTGAAAGAGCAAAACATTGTGAAATATTCATATGATATTTGTCATGATGAGTTCCTTTATGTTATTAGGAGTAATAGTTCGATGTATTTTCCATCAACTGATGTGTTCATTAGATAGATATAAGCGAGCTAATATACAGGGTGGTTCAGGATATATTAGCAATAATTCACCATGGTTCTTTCGAATGAAAAGCGGCATTAATATTATATATAGTTTTTTAAAAAAGCTCTTTCAGGGAGATACATTCCTCTGAAGTCCAGTTTTGAAAATCTTTTTCTTGCATGCTCCAATTCTAAGGACATGAAACAAAATTTGATGCAATTGACGCAACTAAGTTTTGTCAAAATTGTCCACTGGAGTAGATACAGGGTAGTTGTTTCCCTTTTGCCGAACTGTTTATTAAACCACTGAAAATTTTTCAGAATTGGGATATTGTCCCAAATTTCCTGTTCAATTCAGAAAGAAAGGCACTCTTGTGGAATTTCGAATTGGAGCTTCGTTTAAGAGTTCATTGAATTTAAAAAAAAAATGAGATCTCGCTAAAATGGGATAGTTCAGTTGTTTTGAAAAAAACAGGACTCAACTTCTCAATAGGGACATCTCGAATCTCGAACCAACACAATCATCCAAGCAACGTGACAACTCTTGGTTAGCCTAAAATTTGATCCACTATCATGAATTCCAGAGATCTCTAACTTCTTGCCAGATATTTCAGTTTTGGTAATTCAATCATGACAACAGGCATAATATGCTATAAATCATACGAGTGGAAAATTAGAATTTTTTCTGAACTATAATGCTCTTCTATTAGACAGAGCTGTCATGGCTTGAAATTTGACATTTTCATGGATAAGATTTAGAGAAATAATTACACAATAAATTTCACTGTGATATCGGATACTGAAATAACATTGATGGCATACGAATTGCTCAATTTGATTGATCAAACAAAGTAAAACAAGAGCCATTGTGTTTTTTAGCTATAGAAAATAAAAATTGTTGACGATATAAATTTACCTGAAGTAAGACATTCCAGGAATTTGTTTTTTATCTTGTCACCAAATCATTCATTTTGAAAACACTGTACACAAATCAGTCATTGAATGTCGAATAAAATAAGTACTGTTCTTATCACTATGGCTACACCCATTACCCATGTTCAGTTTTCACGGCCCGGCACTGGGCATTTTATTGCTTCCATATTTTATTATTAGTCACGCCAACCCCATTCATAAGACCGACCCTTGAGTTTTGAGTGTTAGGTATTGTTTGACAGGCATTGTAAAAATATATAGTTTCTTGAGAGGCACCAGAGAAGACAGTAGTCGACAGTCTTGGTTGAAGAGTCTGACATTACAGACGATATTTTACTTCTAATAAATACGCTCTTTGAGCCTTCTACAATAAAAATACAGTCCATTTATTTACAAACAAGATCACTTTCCAATAAGTGCATCCTTCTACAAATCAACAAACAATTACAACAACAAAACCCCAAAGTCGTGATCACGCCAAGATAACATACGTGAAGGCATCGCGACACCCCCAACCATTGGTCATTCGAGCCAGGATTCCTGAGTTCCAGAATTCCAGAAGTACGAAGAAGCGCTGGGTATGCAGAGAAGATTCCAGTAGCCAAG